CCGCCCCCCCCCCCCGCCATGCGGCTCCTGCCCTCCGCCCTGGAGCTGCCCCTCACCCCTGGGAGCCCCCCGCTTGCTGTGCAGGGCACGGGAAGAGGAGGAGGGGTGCTGCTGTCAGGTGTCCCTCCCCCACCCTGTATCCCATGTCCACAGAGCAGAGGGGGGCAGGGATGGAGGGAGTTTGCTGGTTGCTTTTGGGAGGGGTGCAGGGCCAGGGCAAGGGCGCCCAGAAGGGACCTGGGGAAGCGGTGCCCAGCTGGACCCTGCATTCCGAGCCCCGGCCTGAACCCCTCCTGCACCCAAGCCCTGTCCCCAGTGAGTGAGGGTAGAAGAGGGAGGGAGGATGGAGTGAGCAGGGGCGGGGCCTCAGAGAAGGGGCGGGAAGGAGGCGGGGCCAGGGTGTTTGGTTTTGGTGTAGACCCTGGATTGTATTTACATTCAAAAAGTGACTTTATGCTTAGAAAGGCTGGTGGCCACTGCCCCAGGGCGCCGCAGTGGGAAAGCAGCAGCAAGTCTGCTAAGCCAGGCTCCACCCAGTCCCAGCACCCACCCGCCTGGGGCCAGGGCAGCGTTAGTCCCCACCGGCCCCGCCCAGGGCTTTGCCCAGCAGAGAGGAGACTTGCCCGCGGGTCTCAGCCAGCCCAGGTCCCAAGGGCAGCGGAGCATCGGCCCCGACCCTGCAGGCTGGTAGGACCCCGGCCCCCGCCGCTCTGGCTCAGCTCTGCACAGCAAGTGTCCGAAACCCCCTGGAGAGCTTCCCTCACCCCGGCCCTGGCCCACAGCCCTGGGGAGCGCCGGTGCCGTCTCCCTGCCCGAAGGGATGGTGTCTGCTGATAGCTACCTGCTGGGGAAGGCGACCTCCGTCAAGGCCCCGAGCCCCACGGCCTCCTGCAGCCGGATGAAGGCGATAAACGGCCCCTCGAGGAAATCCACCTCCCCCACCAGAACGTTGGACACTTCGGCCCCCGCTGGGATCTTCTTCCGCAATCGGTTTCTGAGCTGACAGGAGACGGGGCCTCAGGCCAGGCTGGCGCCCAGAACGGGCCGCGCGCGTGACTCCCCGGTTGACACGTGGCCGCCCCTTCCCCCGCCCCGGGCGCCTCCGGCCTTCCTGGAGCCCGGTCAAAGGGGGTGCCCTGCCCAGGGCTGCCCGGCCATACCTGCTCCGGGAGGGGGGCTTCTGAAATCTCAGCTCCTGGCTCCAGCCCACTGCGAGCGGCGTCTGTAATGCATGGAAAGTCTCTCAGGTCGGAGATGCAGAGGGACCAAGCCGGCCTG